GTTAGTTAGTTAGTTAGTTAGTTAGTTAGTTAGTTAGTTAGTTAGTTAGTTAGTTAGTTAGTTAGTTAGTTAGTTAGTTAGTTAGTTAGTGCATTTTACTACAGTATTTTTATTTCTTTCTATTGAGATACAGCTCATCAGTTTAACTGTGCTTTCTAAATAAATTGTCATCTTTGCTGCTTCAAAAAGGTGTTTTATTAACATGTACAGTATAAAAAGTTCGGTGATGACAATATTACTGGTTTCATTTACAGGATATAAAAACAAAAACACGCGCAAAGTTTTTATTTTAAGGGAAGGAGGGGATGGGGTGGTGTGTGTGAGTGTGTGTGTTGGGGCGGGTATCAAAGGTGTGTGAGACAGATGAGGGGAGGTGGATGAGGAACTGAGGGAGGAAGAGAGGGAGGAGGAGGAGGAGGAGGAAGCAGGGAGGGCAAATAGGGCGGACGCATAAAAAGTGTAGGGACGGTGGATGTTGGATCAGTTGGAGCCCGGCAGTCCTGCGCACCGACGCTTCTGGAGTCCGACAGGAGACTGAACCCTGGAGCCGGCCTCCCCTTTCCTCATGACCGTGTCGAGGTGTCACTAAAAAGGATTAAACAGCCAATAAAAAAAAAAGAATTTAAAAACTCCACACTTCTCCTTCAAGGCTCCATTTTTTTTTCTTTTGTTTTGGCTTTTTGCTGCCCGGACTGTTTTTTTTATTTTTTATTTTATTAATTTTTTATTTTTTTTTTCGATTGATCCGAGGATCCCTGGACCTCTACTGATGGTGAGCGCTGCTCAGCTGACACTTTCACATTTATCACTCAAGCTTTTAACAACAAAACTTTTCAWATAAACAGGAAGGGCTCCGATTAATAATGGTTCATTTTAAATGTGGAGATTTCTGCGGCTTTACTCAGTTGGAAAATAACGTTCCCGAAAGGCTTATATAAAAAAAACATTTATTTCTCTTTATTAATCCCGTGAGAGATAATATATGTATAAATCTAATTAAACTTTAAAAGTGAGAGCATGCAGCTTTAAGCTTACTTTTTTGTGCCCAATACTTGTGCAATGACAAAGTTAGTGAGGTCATTTCCAAACAACGCGTCAGATTTCCCTGCGCTTCCTTCTCTCCCCAACAACTAAAAG